AAATCCTTTCAGACGATGGATTCATTTGCGGTTGCAAGTCCTTTTATCTCCATTATATTTCTATGGATGATTGCTTTTCGATCTTAGGATGGTTTATTTGTTTTTGAGCTATATTTGAATTCTCGGAATTCTCTCTACCAATGGGGATTTCTCTGTGAGCGTTTTCTCCGGTTGTTTCTATGCATAACCGATGGCGGCTGTCGGTGGAAACTGATAAATGGGTAAAAAAACAATTTTATTATCATACCCCCTTGTGTTTTCTACAACTAGCACGAGTACTTTGTTTCTTTTTTTCTCTCGCTCATAGTCGATTGCATAACTAGACTGCAATTAGTTTTAGGTTTATTTGCACTTTGGTGCCCCAAAGTTAACAATATATTTGTGCTTTGATATCCAAGGATTTTTCTGCATATTTTGATACCCTAAAGTTTATACTTTTTTAATTTTTATACCCCGTAGGTTTTTACTGACACTTCGATTCCCAAAGTGTATACCTTTTTGAACTTTGATACTCAAAAGTTTATTTTTGACATTTTGATACTTTTTTTTAATAGTTTAATCAAATTTTAAAAATGTATAAACTTTAAGATAATAAAGTGCCCCAGAAAAAACTTTAGGGTATCAAAGTACAAAAAAAACTTAGGGGCATCAAAATATCAATTAAAAACTTTTGAGTATCTAAGTTAACAACAATGAAAAGTTTAGAGTATCATGGTCAAAAACAATGAAAAGTTTTAGAGTATCAAAGTGCAAATAACCCTAATTCTATCAAACGATTTCTAATTTAAAGTTTTTATTTTTATTTTTATTTTTATTATAAAGCCAGCGTAGAGTCGAACCCTCCACCGTGGGAGAATCTACTTCTAAAATGTTGTTTGCAATATCTAGTTTAGAATGGGGGCATGGTGAAATTGCTTCCTTTTTTCCCTACTTAATCTGTTCATGTGGACAACTGACATCGACGTTATACGGGAAGTAATAAGGGGAGAAAACGCCCATGGCCACGTGGGCCAATCATCGGGCGAGTCTCAAGCGACCATCGCCACAGACGTCGATGCTTGAATCTATGATTCTAGAGCGTCTACAGCACAGAAAGTGTTCCATTATAATTTGCATTTATTAAAGAAATAGTATGATTTGATTGGAATAAAAATTGGGAATGAGAAATAATTACTCCTATTAACAAAGAGGAAACAATGCACATAAAAAAAGAAGGTGAAAATCAAATAACCCGAGTCTGAGTTTTGGGTTGTAATCCTATATATGACGCCTCTGCATTCTATTGCTATATCTAATATTTTGTGAGTATGTTAACAGTTGAAGATGTTCATGAATCCTAATTTTTTGAGATTTCACGCTACAATATTGGATGTGATACTCGGATTTGTTCCGGTTTATTCCAGAAAACTCCCTCGATAATTGCGGTTTTACAAATAAGCCTGCTCGGTTTTACAAATAAGCCTGCTTGCTAGCTAGTTTAATTTTATAGGCCCCACCCCTGAACTTTGAGGGTTTGTGAACATAACCCCCATGAAGTTCTTTTATTCTGAACATAATCCGAGTTCAGGAGTTTGAGATCATCTTCTTTGCAAGCTTTGTAATCCTCTTTAATATTCAAAGGAAAATTTTTGTGTGGCTCCCGAGGACGTAGGCAAGTTGTCGAACCTCGTTAAAAAATTTGGTGTCATCTCTTTTATTTTTTCCTTGCAAAGTTTTCTTTTATTTGATGTGATTTCTTCTTGCCTTCTTTCAACACAAGATCCGGAGGGCACGTTCCGCGAAATGGTTCATTTGATAGGTTGTCGATAGGACGAATCCTCCCCAACACATTACAATGTCAATCATCACCCACGCGGCTCGAGTATGAGTAGTAATCCTATGACGCCTCTGTTTTCTGTTGTTTTCTCTATGTATATGCAATTCATACTTGTGTATTGTGTTATGCTCTACAGATCCTTTCCGCTTATTTTCTGAGAAAACAATACTTACAGGAAGCAGGGGAAAAAAAGAAATCTACTCTAATGGAAGAAGAAAATCTATACGATCATGCGAGAGGTAATATCTATTTCTTTTGGATCAATTCTGCTTTTTTATTTCCGCTCCTCTATGCAAGATAGTTTACAGGCAGCTCTTTAATGACCAAATTATGTTGTTACATGTGCACGATCGAAAATATTATCTAGACTCCCTGTAAACTCTCTTCTGAGATTTTGCTGCGTCTGCAAACAATGGTGCTCCTAAACTTCTGATACCGACTTCATTGAAGAACATTACGAGAGCTCTATGGCTAGGACTCCCAAAATTTCGAGCGGAAGTAAAACTATACGGTTGTGAGGATGCAGCTTGTGAAATCAAGAATTCCGTCATTCAGATAGAGCATCAAGCTGCAATATGGAAGGCAGGCTATCAAATTTTGTCAATGGATTGGCTTGCGGATATGACAAGATCAATGTAGGTGAATGCCGCTTAATAAATCCCTCTACTTGCTCAGTTTTAAAACTCGATCCCCAGCTCCCCTCGAAAAGTTTCGAAACTTGACAATGCATGTTGGATTCGGGTTCGACACCTTCACAGGAGAACACGAGGTAGTCAGGCTTAATTGCTCATGGTAGTCTGGAGTCTTGTGAATGTGAAATCCTCACGGTGGGAACTCATGAATGAAGATTTATCGAAGAATTAATATACTTTCGATGTGCCACCTACGAAACCAGTTTACTCACAAGGGTCTCTCTATTGGAACGTAGGCTTGCTAAATGAAGACGGAGAATACTGCATGGCTATCTATAGGTTCGAAGTTAAACATGAGAAGTTTGAAGTTATACCCTTCATACCCGAACTTAGTATGAGTTGCAATATATATGAGTGAAGAGGGCGTGTCTGCATCGTGACGATGAGACCACAGATGAAGATATGGATGCTTGAGGATAACGAGGAATGGATCGAGATGTTTAGCGTCTGTGCGATAAATTTCTCAATCAGAGACAACTCAGGTCCAATGAGAATACCCGATATTGTTGTGACATCTTTGGGATAAACTAATATCAATCGCACGAAAGCGCATAAAAAATCAAGAACACAAAACACACGGATATACATGTTCGATTTGTAGCTTACGTCATGGGCAAAAGAGGAGAATAGTTTACTAAATTGCAAGGAATACAATATAGATCTCAATCACTCAATCCCTAACATACCGTAAAAATCTAATACAATCTCTCTTTCAGGAATAAGAGAGAGAGAAATATCAAATAGGCTTGACAAGAGAACCATATATTCTTAATTGGTGCTATGTAGATTGATCATCATAATTGGCTTCTTAGACCTCCGTATATATACATGTTTGAAGACCCAAATTCCTTGCTGCCCAAGTAATAAGAATTCTACTGGGAATGTAAGTCCCATGTGATTGGACTTGTGCAACGACATCAATTCTTATGTAAGTAGCATCCTTGTTGTGCGCCAATGAAGTCAATGAAGTCCATGTTGTGCGCATGCTTGTCTTCAAGCCAATGAAGTCCATGTTGTGCGCTAATGAAGTCCATGTTGTGCGTAGCGGAAATTTCGGTAGTACTTCGACAGCACAACAAGATAGTATATCTCAACTAAAATTCTTATTTCTCAAAGGAAACAAGAACCGAAAGCAAGATATCTCAACAAAGTGGGATATCAGTTTTTCTTCTCATCAGTTCTAGGACTGACTTGTCGAGGGAACCTACAAGCTATTACAAATCACAGCAAAACAAATAATTTTACATGGTTCAGCAAATTGCCTACGTTCACGGGGCAAAGAGAGAGAGATCTACTATTAGAGGGAGAGAATACACTTAGAGTTTACAATCTCACAATCTAAACCCTCAAACAAGCTTTCAGATCCCTCACACAAATATCTCCCTCTGTAGGATGCACAAACCCTCTCAAAACGGCTCCTGCACGCCGCCAAAAAGAGAGAACAAAAAACCTTCTGTTGCTTTCTTCTTATTCGCCGCCGGAAATCACCCGAAGCCCCGCAACCAAGAGATGCCAAAAAATTAAGGCCAACTTTTTCTCTCTTTTTTTCTACTTGCGCACATTACCCTAGACTAGGTTAAAAGCTATATTTATAGCTTGGGTGGGCCTGCGGTTTTCGGGTGTGGGCTCTATCTCACGCGGAAAAAGGGCATGAGTAGGTTTGCCCTGTGGCCCCTACTCACAATTCTCCACCTCGGTGAAGTTTCTCCCAAAACTGAGCCGACACCAAAGCATCCAAATGTCCCACTTGTTGTGTCCAATACGCCGTGAAGTTAATTCATAACAACGTATTCAATCCACAACAAGTCGGGAACCCGAATAAGAGTTTAAACAATCTCACCCCCATCAAAATAAACTGATCCAACCGGCTGTATCGTAAAGACTGTCTACGTATCCTCTTGCCCAAGGAATCAAGCCGAACGTAGTTCACCCAAATGGCCTCCAAAAGCCTCAACATCGAAGAATGTTCAAAAGCTCCAAACAATGACCAAACTTAACACCTGAAACAATTTTGGTCAACATATCCGCAGGGTTGTCCTTTGTGTGGATCTTCTCCAACATGACGTCTCCTTCATCCAAGACATCACGAACAAAGTGGAATCTGACATCGATGTGCTTCGAGCGTGTATGATAAACCTGGTTCTTCACCAAATAGATAGCTGACATGCTATCACAATATACCCGAAGGTTCTCCTGTGTAATCCCCAAGTTCTCCAATAATCAACGCAACCACAAAGCCTCCTTAATTAACAGCTTCAGTCACCGTCATATACGCTGCCTCTGTAGTAGAGAGAGCTACTGTGGATTAAAGTGTGCATCTACAACATACCGGTGCTCCTGCCAATATAAACACATATCATGAAGTACACCGACGCTTGTGAAGATCTCCAACATAATCTGAATCTATGTAACCAATACAATCCTGCATATTCTTCTCATCCTTCTGGAAAATAAATCCAACATCCACGGTGCCTTTAACATACCATAGAATCCACTTCATAGCCTCCCAATGACCCTTCTCGGGGCTGTTCATGTACCTCGATACCATGCTTACAGACTGTGACAAATCTGGTCTTGTACACACCATCGCATACATTAAGCTACTCACTGCACTGGCATATGGAACCTTCAACATGTAATCTATGTCCTCAACTAAAACAGGTGATATATTAGCTGAAAGCTTGAAGTGGGGAACCAGTTGAGTACTAACTGCTTTTTCATTACCATCAAAGCTGAATTTCTTCAACATCTTCTACAAATAGCTCTTCTGTGTAAGCTTCAATCTCCCCTTCACCCTGTCTCTCTCGATCTTCATACCCAATATCTTCTTTGCTTCTCCAAGATTCTTTATCTCAAACTCGGATGATAGCTCATCTTTTAACTTTCGAGTAGCTGAAGAATTCCTAAAAACAATAAGCATATCATCAATATATAAAAGCAAATATATGTGCTCGCCATTCTGTAGCTTGTGCATATTAATATATGGGTCATATGGGCTCCTCGTGTACCCATGGCCAATCATAAAGCTGTTGAATATCTTGTATCACTGTCGCAACGATTACTTTAATCCATAAAAAGACTTCTTTAGCTTACAAACAAAATCTTCCTTTCCTGCAGCTTTGAATCCCAATGGTTGTGTCATATAGATCTCCTTATCTAAATCACCGTGTAGAAAGGCTGTCATTACATCCATCTGGATCAAATTCAAATCTAGTTGTGCACCAATGCTAATAAAATCCATATTAACGAATGCTTCACAACGGGTAAAAATATCTCATTGTAATCAATGCCCTCAAGTTGTGCATATCTCTTGACAACCAATCTGACTTTGTACCTAATATCCCCAATAGAAGATCCCTCTTTCTTCGCATATACCCACTTGCAACCAATAGCTTTCTTCCTCTTAGGTAGCCTTACAAGTTCCCAAGTGTCGTTCTTCTGAAGAGATCACATCTCCTCCTCCATTGCTTCCCTCCACCTAATCGAATCGGGGCTAGACTCTGCCTCCCTGAATGTGGATGAAACCATATCATCAACGACCTCCACTAATAATGCATATGCGACCATGACATCATTATCCCTAGCTGGCCGATGAATCACCCTTCTAGGTCTATTCGCTGTAATAGACTCCTAAACATGACCTTGTCCTGAGTCTCACAATCCACTGAATCCTCTATCTGCCTGGCTGTCATCCTATTTCCTTCCAGTGTCACCTCTGTAGAAGTCTCGATGGATACAATGCTCTCTGGAGTGAGTGGAGTCACATCATCCTCCACCTGCTACGATATCTCCCGAATCTGGTTTTCCTCCACCTGCTGAGGAACTTAAGGCTTCATCATGTATGCCTCATCAAATATGACATCTCTGCTAATAACTATTTTCTTGTCCTGTGGATCTCATAATTTGAAGCTTTTAACTACATCTCTAAATCCTACAAAGATAGCTTTCCTCGCCCTCGGATTTAATTTACCATCAATGACATGGTAATAAGCAGGACACCCAAAAATATGAAGCAACTCATAGCCATTAGCTACCGAACCAAACCAACGCTCCAACGAAGTCTTCCCCTGTATTGCAGTGCACGACAACCTATTCATGAGATGGCTCGCATAAACCAACGCCTCAGCCCAAAAGGATATAGGTAATCCACTCTGCGTCATCATACATCGTACCTTCTCCAGCAAGGTACGGTTCAATCTATCAGTCACCCCGTTCTGTTGTGGTGTCTCTCGAACTATGAAGTGTCGCCTAATTCTATGATCCCGGTAAAACTGCAAAAACGGATCACTCTTATACTCTCTTTCATTGTCCGAACGAAGAGTCTTTACCTTTCTACCTGTTTGTAGCTCCACTTTCTTCTTCCACTCCACAAAAATATCTAGGATCTCATGTTTATACTTCATAGGGTATACCCAATTTCTTCTGGAATAATCATCAATAAAAGTAACAAAATAGTTGGCCCCACCAAGTGATGTATGCTTGGAAGGGCTCCAAATATTTGTGTGAATGTAGTGCAACATACCTTGGGTATTGTGAATAGCGGTGCTAAACTTCACTCTAGTCTTTTTCCTAAGTACACAATGCTCACACAGGTCCATATTACAGGTCTTAACACCTTTCAATAGCCCCTGTTTCGGTAATGACTGTAGGAACTTATCTTCTGTGTGTCCTAGTCTCATGTGCCATAATATGGTAGTGTCCTTCTTTGCAGTGATAGAAGCTGTCAGACCCCCTGTAACTGTCTTACCCTTCAAGTAGTATAGAAAGTTTTCCTTGACTCCTCGCATCATCACCATAGAACCATTTGTGACCTTCACTGTAGCATCCTCTAAGGTCACCCGATAACCAATTGCCTCCAAAGTACCAAGAGAAATGATGTTCTTCGTCATCTGCGGCACGAACCTTACTTCTTTCAATTCCCTCACCACTCTGTCATGCATCCTAATCCGGACTGAACCAATACCACCAATAGGACATACGTGGTCATTTCCCATAAGCACGACATCCTTTCTTTCTAGCTTCTCAAAGCTAGAGAACCAATCTCTCCTAGGACATATGTGATATATGCCTCCTGAATCCAACATCCACTCCGTGGAGTCGGCATAGCAAATCGACGATAGTGCAGGGCACAAATAGCCCGAAGAATATGACTCTGAATATTCATCAATAGCTTTTGCAACATTCACTTCTGAAGCTTGTACAGCTTTCCCCTTGTACTTCCCAGCTTTGTCCTTCAACTTTGGGCAGTCGATCTTCCAATGTCCCTCTTCTTTACAAAAGCGACATTGATTCCTATCAATACTCTTATGGCCACCTTTATTCTTTGATTTTGAGCGGTTGAACTGACGGCGGTTTGGATCACGGCCTCGAACTGCTAATGCATCTCCCGATGCCTTCTCGGAGGACTCACCATCACTCTTCCTCAACTCATAATTCACCAAAGCTGAGGTCACCTCTTTATAGCTAACAATAGTTCTTCCATTAATCATAGTGAGAACGAACGTACCGTAATCATACTCGGGCAACGAACACAAAACTAACATCGCCTTGTCTTCATCCTCAACCATGATATCCACATTGGTCATATCTGAAAG